ATTTCCAGGAATTTGAAATCGACCCCGATCTCATCAAAGAGCAGAAAGCGGAGGTTGAAGCTAAGGTAAGTGCATATTTGATTAATTTTCTGTCTCTTCAGTAATGACCGAGTCCAACTATCGCTAAGTTATTGTCATATTTGTCATTTAGATTGAGCTTGTTCATAAAGAGATGGCATGGGAAGCTGAAAAGCAATCAATTGGTCTGAAAAAACTGCAGAAGAGGTGAGAAGTTTGGTGTCGGTTAATTCAAACACTGTTAAATGGTGATCAATTTTGTGATCGCGTGTTGTCAACAGGCACAAGTTTAATTAGAGAATTTTTTCGAGTGGGGGTAAAGCTGTTGGAGTTGTTCGCCCGTTTTATTCTTTAAGTTTTATTCTTCCTAGCTTTAGGCCCCGTTCACACTCCGTTGGAGAAATTGGAAAACGGTGTTTTCACTCTGAAAACGCATCAAATGTTTTCTGTCCACATTACGTCGGAGAAATTTGGAAACGCAACAATCAGTGGTCATTTTGGATTTGTGTTTAAGGAAACTGGGGCAGGGAAATCACAAGATTATCGTAACGTCATAGTTTTCGAAAAGCTCCATTTTCAAAATGTTTTCCGTCCACACTAAACAGGGACTAAAAGTAAAATGCAAAGTCGGCGTTTTCAAATTCCTCCGGTTTGAAGAGCGTTTTCAAAAAGCTCCGTTTTCTTGTCGGATTAGTGTGGACGGTAGGCCTAACCGTAGAAATAAAGATGCGTTTCCAAATTTCTCCGGTGTATTGAGGACGGGCCCTAAGCACCATTGTTGATGTTGTAAGTATATCTACATTTTTCACTCGTTGGTGTAATCATATCGTTCTTCACGTGCTTTCCTTTCACTCCGTGTCCATGTTCCAAATATATTCCCCTGACTGGGTGTTACACATTTCTCTCAATGCCTCTTTTGGGAATTTCGTTTTACATCACAAGAGTATCACATAGATGATAACCTTCTTTATGCTCATCACCTGCTTGCTTCACAATGTAGTGATAATGTAGTCAGAAATAACATTTTTATCAATGATGGTACTTTCTTTGACAGATTCAAAGACGAGGTTGAATGTGACCGGATCGTCCTCCGCGCGTTTCTCACTCCACACCTGGTCACGAGCTTCAGAGCAGCTAAACCCGACTATCATCACCAGCTACTACAGGAGGCCGGTGGGGCAGGGGGTGAGGGACCTGACGGGGGAGGGCACGGGAGAAAAAGCTTTTCTAGTGGAGCAAAGAATGCAGCACAGGTAAGGTTTTTTGATCATTAATTACCAGTGCTGAGGGTCTGTAATTAAAATAGTTTACGTTGATGGTCGTAAAGTAATGTTAATGTGGCATTGGTGTTGTGTTGATCAATGCAGCTAAAGAGACGTGGAACTCAAGACAAGATGACTCTAAACCAGCAACAGCAACAACAACAGCAGCAGCAGCAACAAGTTCCGGCATCACAGGGACAGCTGGGAAGTAAAGTGGCGAATGCACTGGCCAAAGCCGAGGCTCGCAGACAGAAGAGACTAGCCAGACAAGCTGAGGTATGTTTTAAAGTAACAACATAAAATTATGTAATGCGCAAGAGTTTATGTGCGCCCTACACAGTTCATGCAGGTACCCAAGAGATTACTTATTGTCTGTCGATTTTAGTTTAGAAGAAGACTTTTATTTGTGTTGTGTCTTGAAACTGTCACGAATCAGTACAAAGATCATGCTGAAAAATTTCTTGTATGGTTTTTATTTTTGATTCGTTTTGATGTATAATAGGTAACTGCGCTCTAAGACAGTCAATACATTTTCTGCTCGTATTTTAGCGTCACATTCCTCACTGGATTTTCTGTGTTACATGTCGGAGGACGCTTATTGCGAAGTCGTGATCGGTCTTTTCTTTCTATTTATATTTTACGGAAATTTAAATATTCTTTATTTACTATTCTTTAGGGTCCGCATGCGATCCACCCGTGCTTCGTTGTACCTGTTTTGCGGATATATAAGTGGTAAATAATTTACGTTCGCTTGAACGAAGTGAAGTAGAACGTAATTATATTTGTGTTTCAGTGGGACGAGTTGTATCGTAACAAGCCTGACGAAGGTTATCAAGATCCCAAAGACGTGGCAGCGATAAAAGAAGCTCGAGAGAACATGGGCGACTACAAACTCAAAACAGCTAAAGATTATGTTGTTCCCGAAAGCTTGAGAGTGAACGCAGAAAAGAAGAGAATTCAACTGTTGAACTTACTTGACCAGGTAAATTGTGGCTTTTATTGACCTCGGTCATTCTGCTTCATCTTCCATAGCAGTAAACAAAAACTGTGCAGTCCAATTTTGCCGGGAAATGAGAGGCCCCCAAGTTCCTTGCTTACGTGCGAGCCGAAATGGTGGGAATTTTGTGGCCCTGCGTAGGTCGAATAACAGGCATTGATTGGTTAGAAGTTGACAGTTTTACTTGTTTACGTGCTTTAAGGGTTCTTGCCATATTTAAGTCTGAATTTCAGCCAACCTTTTTGTCTAGCTGAAAAGAATAGTAGTTAGAGTTCTTGATGACAATACTACATAACTGGCTATTTGCCGACTCATGGTGTATCAATTTCTGAAGCAATGTCGAACTGTAATAAATTTAAGGAATATCAGAAATTTATTAGAAACTTTAGAACGTATTTCTGTCGTTGTTCAAGTTTGTCGATGCTACCCCACCATCTCCTGTCAATAGACTAGTTTCGTATTCTTGGTTTTGGACTGGAACTAGCTTGCAATGGAGGCTCAGCTCATGCGGGGGGGCNTATCGTTGAAAAGAGATTTTAAAATGTCATTTGCATTTGAAAAGACTCCCCGCATCAGCCTCACTTGCAAGCTAGTTCCAGTCCAATACCGAGAATACGAAAATGGCTTATTGCCGAGCACTTTTACAACATCGAACCGTTATTACTGGCTCTTCTCTGACCCAGGAATGGGTCTCGATAACTTCTCGATATGTCTTTCTAATCCTATTTCGTTTCTTACGTTGTTTACAGATTCATCATTACAAGTTCCAGTTCAACCAGTCGTTTTTATCGCTCCGCGACAAGAAAATCAAGATTATCAAAGAGGTCAGCCATCTGTAGTGCTTACTTCCTTGACGTTTGACAAGTGTTTGCTATTTTATTATTGGTTGTTTCTAGAACCGACCAATGACTGCTGACAAACTTTACACTGACGAGTCTTTCAGCCAATACCATCATGTCTAAACTGACCAATCACTTTAAACGGACCAGACTTAATGACATCATCGACTGACAAACACTTATTCACTTGACTCTGAAGATGACCTCCGCTCAGGTTGTCGAAACGTCAGTCACCAATAACAGTTCTTTTCAGAATTACTCTCATCTGGACGATCACAGCACAAGACGAAATGTTTTAGTTCCACAAAGGTAAATACCAGACCCGCTTTTTGTTTTCATTTTTCAGTTGAAGGAAACCGTCGCGGAGCTGGAGGAAGTCCAGCGGAAGATCGACCCGTACTCTAAACGAACCATCCCGAAAATTCCCGAAATGATGCCCGACGAATGTCCCGAAAAGTAAGTACGACTTGAGACTTCTATCAAAGTCATCACAGAAGCTGATAATTGAGGCAGCACAAGTCGAAACTCGAGGCACAAAATTGCAAGAAATGGTTGTAACGCTGGAAAAGTATCATTACAAACGACTGGATGAATGAAGCAATCCTGTTTATTGAGTATTTAGTAAGAATTTTACAAGGAAATGTTAGATGATGCTCAGCAATTTTCAGTCAACCCCGAACAAACAAAAAAATTACCCCCCCCCCCGGAAAAAAAAAAAGAAACAGTTAGTCGGCCTTCTCGGACTTTGTACAGTGGTCCTCATGCTTGCACCAGTCCCTCTCCTGACAAATCTCATCGCAGTATGTGATTCCATGGCATCCGCTGCACATCAACATGATAGTGCTGAGTTTTCCACAGTTGGCGCATTTCCACGTGGCACTCCCTTCTACCTTATTGACCTTCTCCTTTCTCCTTGATTCTTCAGGCTCGAGCGCGGCCATTTTCCTTTTTCTTGCTGCAGTAAACTCCCGGATGGTTTTCTCTCGTGTCTGTTTTCTCACCCTCGCGATCTCCGCTTTGTGTTGTCGCCGCATGCGATCTAAGGCGCCTTGTAGCTCGTCGTTTTTGTCGTGAATCAAAGATTCAATAGATTGTTTGGCCCTCTGGTAAACGGTGTCAACAGCTATTCGACTGGATTCCTTCTCCTTCTCGATCTGCTTCCGAAGAAGTTCTTTTTTCTTCTCGATCTGAGCTTTCTCTTCTTTGATTTTAACGGACGCCACCACTGCGGCTGTTTGTATAACGCTCAGCTGGTATTCCTCAATTAGGTTCGCTGTACTTTTCTGACAAGAGGCCATTGCATCTTGCAGCTCTTTAACCCTCGCTAGTAGATTTTTCGACATCTTTTCCTGCTGTGTAATCCTTGAATAAAGCAAAATCTGGAGAGACGAGGTTGTATTAACTCGCGCGGTGGACCGTTTATTTGTTTTGAAAATTTGTTTTCGGTTGTCATGGTATCTTTGTTGACGCGTTTTTTCGACAGTGCGCGCGCGCGCGACATAAAAAAGTTCGAGCGTTGCGTATTTCTGATACATATTTTTGAAGATGCGTTGAGATCAATGAAGCACGTCGTAACGAAAGATACTTTTGGAGTTTTTTGAAACTTTGTTCCTCTCAAAACAGTTGTTTAGAAGCCACTGAATATTCAACTTCTCTCTCTGAATTCTTTTCGCAAGCGGTCGATAGCAGAGCGTTTATTGTTTTGCCCTTTTAAACGATCACGGAACGGGGCTAAGCTTAACGATCAAGGGCATCAAATACGTTTAAGAGTAAGATTTTGGCTTGAAAGTCTGACATGCGACCTCAAAAATGGAAACTCAAAACAATAGCAACATACATTATGCAAAACAAAGTTTCGAAACTTCATGCTCCATTGAGAAAACCATCCTATTGGCTAAATCCGTGGTCACGCAGACTAAGTTAAAAACTTGGGTCCACTTGCGACTCAGTTTGGCCAGGCTTTGCGTGCACTTGCGTTGACTTGTGATGACTTGCGCTCACTTTGGTCGAGATCAAAGTTGCGCGCAAGTCGATGCAAGTTTTTCATCGTTTGGCTACCCAACCCAAGTCAACGCAAGTTGAGTGACGTCCATTCGTTGTTATAGCAACCTATTAGCCGATGAAATTCAGGATTTGTCTGCGTGATGGTTACGGTTTGGCCGAACGTAGCCTTGAAATGGTTGTTTTTGCGACTTGCGTTTTTGCGACTGGCGAGGAAACTTGCGAGTCCGTTTGGCCACCCAACGCAAGTCTCTACGCAACTTCAACTTGCGGCTATAAATGGCGCGGACGTTATGCATGTGCGCGTGAAGTCACACATTTCGTTTGAACTTCCACTGATTCTTTCTCCTCTTCTTTCTGCAGACGTCTTGAATACACACGTGAACAGCTCCTTGAGTTCAAGAAACAAGTGGACGACAAGGTCGGTCAAGGTCAAGGTGAAGAGCAAGGAGGCGGCTTTGGAGGATTTGGTGGATTTGGCGGAGGGAGCTCTGAGGTGAGTTTCGATCTTTCTCTCGCGCTGCTTACTTTTCAGTGTTTTTAAGGCCTCGTCCACACCACGCGGCAGGAATTTGGAAACGCAACTTTATTTCTACTGTTAGGCCTACCGTTCATACTAATCCGTCACGAAAACGGAGCCTTTCGAAAACGCTCTTCAAACCGAAGGAATTTTAAAACACCGGCTTTGCGTTTACGTGTGGACGGAAAACATTTTGAAAACGGAGCTTTTTGAAAACGATGACTCGGGATAATCACGTGATCTCCTTGCCCGAGTTTTTTTCAAAAACAAACACTGCGTTTTTAAATTCTTCCGGTGTAGTGTGGACTGAAAACATTTGATGCGTTTTCATAATGAAACCTCAAATTCCTCCAGCGTAGTTTGGACGGGGGCCCAAAAGGTTACGAATTCGTTCGAGGCGGCAGAAAAGTCCCAGGATGCTGGCTCTCTGATTGGCTGAAAACTTTGGAAAACCAAGAAAATACTGTCAAAGCTAAGGAAAATGTAACGAAACTTTATCAAGTGAAAATGGTACCTTTTCACTGTAATTTTTTTTTTGTAGAAAAAGTGTAATTAATGTAAATGTGTGTATTGTTTTCCAAATCGTCCTTTTATCTCACATTAATATTCACTACCTGTCATTTCAGCCTTCAAAACCGGCGGCGGCTCTTAGCAAGCCAGGGACACAGCAGAGGGACCGTTCTATTTCCTCCGTGTCTGTACATTCCTCTGGAAGGCCCAAGTCCAGTTTGAGTACCTTAACAGACAAGGGAAGTCCTGAACCTGCCATAGAAGAAATCATCGAGGAACCTTCTGTCTTGGAACAAGAGATACAGTATGAAGAGCAAATCAGGTTAGATTGGAATTTTTTGTTTCAGGAACGAGATCCATTGCTCTTGGCAATCGTTATTCTGCTAGTCACGACGTTCGGGAATAATCGTTTCGTGACAATCAAAACAACGGACTGTCACGCACTGTTTTTATTTCACAACCGATGCAAGCGTTATTTTGGTAGTCAAGACGCTCGGGAATAATTGTTTCGTGACAATCGAAATTACGGACTGTCACGCATCGTACAAACCGTCTTGACGCATCTATTTTTGATTTGCCGTTTCAGTTAAAGAGTTTTTCGAATTATTTTTTAATACTTAAAACCAAATTAATCACAGCGGCATATCGCTACGTCAGCGTAAAGTATAATGAACCAATCAAAACGTACAGGAAAATCGTGTGACTTGGGGCCAAAGCGGGGGAATCGTGAAGTCCGTGGAAAGCGCGGGGAATTTTGGATTTTACCGCTGGCAAACTGCTGGCGAATATTTAACCGGAAGCAAGCGCGGAAAACTGGTAACCGTTGCCAGTGCGGTAAAAGTCTTGTGAGCTAAACGATGGGTGTTTTGTTATTTTGAGTGCGATGGGTCGAGAAGTCAACATCTTGAACCTCAATAAACCGTTCTCCGTGTTGTAAACAAACAAGCGCATTTCGTTTTTTCTACTCTACGACTGCATCTTGACGGTAATAACCACAAACAATTCAGACATTTTAAGAAAAAAAGTCCTGATTATGCTGTTGTGTTTTTTTTCAGGCTGCAGTATGAACAAGATGTGTTAATAGACAAGATCACCAGCACACTGGAAAAATTCGACGCGGATCTGAGATACCTGAGACACGAAAAAATACACCTGGAAGTCGCTGTGAAGTGCGCTGACCTCAGGTAAGATTCCCACATCCAGGCCCCGTGCACACTACGCCGGAGGAATTTGAAAACGAAGCTTTTACCTTGAAAATGGATCAAACGTTTTCCGTGCACACCACGCCGGAGGAATTTGAAAACGCAACTATAACCGGTCATTTTTGATTTGTGTCTGAGAAAATCTCGGGCAGGGAAATCACAAGATTGTTGTGATCCCATCGTATTCGAAAAGCTTCGTTTTCAAAATGTTTTCCGTCCACGCTAAAACGCAAAGCCGACGTTTTCAAATTCCTCCGGTTTGAAGAGCGTTTTCGGAAAGCTCCGTTTTGGTGACGGATTAGTGTGAACGGTAGGCCGAACCGTAGAAATAAACTGCTTTTTTAAAATTCCTTCGGCGTAGTTGCGGACGGGGCCTCAGTAAACAGATTTTAATGAATGGCTTGGGCCAGTAGTAAGTATTATCAACTCTTATTGTCAATAAAATATGTGATAAATCAGTTATTGCTGTAAAATATACCCCTGTTCTGTTTGTGAATAACTACCACTGGAATATTTGATATATTTATTTTCTGTCGACAGGCAAGTTACTCTGTTTGAAGAGTTCATGCTGCTGAAGGAATTTGAGAAAAGAGAGAACAGCTTCGCCAACAAAGTCAACACAAAACTTTCTGAGAAAGACGAGATGCAGGAGAAGGTAGGAGAAATACCTGCTAAAAATGTTCGTAAAGTAGATTGTGGCGCAGTTGATTGGCACAATGCCCTTATGATCCTATCCCTACCTAATTAGAGAACGTCCCGTGTCAGGTTTAGAGTGACTTAGACGCCATTGGAATAAACGTCTTTTTTCTGTCTTCCAATTGCAACGAGAGAGTTCAGTTGAAGCTTTCTTTGTCTCTAGCTCAGATTTAAAAGTCAGGGTAGGCATTTGTGTTATAAACCGTGGCCAGGACGACCAAGTCGAAATTACCACCAATATACTATGCAAGTTGTCCAACACATCAGTATAAGACGAAATGAAGTGAACACCCACTTTTACGGGAACAGAAGTTTCCAAAACCTAGACTTAAAGTTTCAGCTCCTTCGTCTCTTCCTGAGTACCTTGTCGTATTTTTTTTCGTGCTCTGCAACTGTTGCAAGCACACGGATGATTCAGCTAAGGCTGCAGTATTGACTGTGCCGCTTTTCCTGTTTTAGGTTGAAGATTGTCAAATGAAACTAGACTCCAAGAAACAAGACATAGAAAAGCTTCAAGAGCAAGAGAAGGCGCTTTACACCTCGTTCTCTGCAGCTCTCGGCGAGAATAACAAGTTTGAGTCGTTTTTGACCCGCGTGTTCAAGAAGAAAATCAAACGCGCGAAGAAGAAAACTCAAGCCCAGGAAGGCTCGGACGAGGAAAGCGAAGATGAGGACAGCGACGAGGATTTATCTTCAAGTGATGAGGAGGACTCTGATGCAGAGGAGTTGGACGACAGCGTGTGTCCACCTGGATGTGATCAGGCATTGTTTGATCAGGTATGAAACTAGAGCCGCGCGTGTGGACACCTTAGAGCGTGACTACTTGCTGTATCGCGCGCGTGGTAAAAGTGCGCGCATTTCCTTGCGTGTTCTTCCTGAACCACTCCGACCTTATCCCCGAAAGTCGCGCCTTACATTTGCTTTTTTACTTGAAGTGTAGTCTACGTTCGATCAGGCAGACAGTCCTCTGCGAGGACAAGAAGTGCCAGTTTCTCTTGTATACCTGTCTTCTGTTTGCTTGTTTGTAGTCTGATTAACAACGTAAAAGGACAGGAGAAGCAAGTCTCCAGTTATAAATCATTACTGAATTCAAAACTGACAACAAAACACTCGGTTGAGTCCCGGTTGGCAACCGGGACTCAACAAGGTGTTTTGTG